TCTTTTTTTTTTTTTTTTGTACCAGGGTCCGAACTCGGGCCCGTGTGCTTGCGAGGAAGGCAGCGGCACCACTGAGCTAAATCCCCCAGCCCAGTTATCTCCCTATTGATGTCTGTCTGCTCCACTCCTGAGTGCAGGGACTGTGTCAGCATGAAATGTGTGCAGACACAAATCCAGAGCCCAGGCCTGTGGTCTCACGACTGCTCGAAGAAGGAGCAAGTGCACGGCTCCATTCTGACCCTCGGGAACGCTTTCCTTTGCTGTGTGGGAAATTACTGCTTGAGACATACTTTGTAGAGACTCTCTTGTCAGTCGAGTAATCCAAAGGGATTGTGAAGCGTGCCCATAATGTAACATGGCTGGCTGCTTGTCAAACGTAGGAATCCTGCAGTGGGAAGAGGTAGGAAGAAGAGGGCCTCTGGCTAGCAGCTGGCTGTCCTTGGGCCTTATCCCATCTGGACTCTCTCTCTCTCTCTTGGAAGAACTCCAGAACCAGAATCTGGACCCTTTACGGAAGAAGCACAACCCATTCTTAGTCCCAGTAAGATGTTTAACTTGTAACCACCCACTTGAGTCTCGGAGAGCTGGTGATGTAGACACCCAACTTCAAGAGGTTGGAATTAACTCTAAGTGGGAGCCAGATGGGATTTGGAACTTCCTCTAGGTCCCAGAGCACCTTGCTCTCATGTAAGCAGCGTGGATTCCCTGCATAGGACTGTACTCCAGGTGATGGGAAGGAGAGAGGAGCTTAATTCAGGGAGTAACGTGATCAACTTTCAAAGTAGCTACAGTGTGAGTGGCTGATTGGAAAGCGTAGGTATTGGATGCAAGGAGGGCAGTCAGACAGGGGTCAGACGACAGCAGAAAAGCACCAGTGTGCTGAACCTCTGCTTATGGATGGTGTGCATTCTGAGTGGTCCACATCTGTGTCGCCCTCCCTGCTGCATGTTCTAAAATTGCTCTTGCCATTAGAAGGCTGTGGTAAATGTCAAGACAAGAATGTCTCATGCCTGAGTCAGGGTTTGGAATTAGAGATGGAGAGGAGAGGGAGGATATGACGGAGTCTCTGCGCTCTGATGGACTCTGACACCTTAGATATAGGGATGGATGGTGGGGAAACGAGCAATTCCCAGTTTACTAGACAGTTGGATTTTGTGGTTTCATGAACTGAAGCAAGGAATAAAAAGGGGACCAAATTGGGGGACATGAAAAGAGGTAATGATTTTCACCTAGGACATATCTGCTATGATTTCTTCTTTCTTTTCTAGGTTAACTAAGGATTGTTTTCATCAGTTTATTCAAGAATTACTAAGGGGAATTATACTCATTGGTTTATTCCTTTTTTTAAAAAAAAGACTGCTCTATTTCTATTTGAGTGTATATTTGGCTGAGTGTGAAGTTTCTGGAATTATACTTTATTGGAAAACTTCATAGTCATTTGGCTTCATTTTGTTTCACCATCTTCTACTATTCACGTTGCCACAGAAATGTTTGGAGCCATACTTATTTTTCTCATTTCCCTCTTGTATTCATTCCCCTCATATAAGAAAGGCAATTCTAACTTATTGTGTGAATCATGCCAGTTTTGAGAGTAAGAGGGGATACAATAAACAACTGAGCTTGGGAGGCAGGTGTGGCCTGGGACTACTCCACGATCACTCTACTTGTAAGCGATTTGGTGTTTTTGTCTGCCCACCCAAGGAGTCTTTCTTTACATTCACAGCCCAGTGACATCACCAGGATATCTGTTCGTGCCGATGTTCCGTGTCATTCCCACCACGCCCCACTCCACTCCAGGATATGGCCTCCCTTTTCATTGTGTAGCTTCGAGTCCTTTATTCCCGGATTTCTGTTTCATTAACATTGAAGTATATTCTCTGTTCCTTCATTCTGGTCCTTCTTGCCAAAGAACCTAGTTCTACCTGTGGCCTCTGTCATTCACATCGGTTCTATTTTCCTCTGATATCTGTCACCTATCATTTATTTTCCTTTTCTTTTCCCTCCCCACTCGTAGTCTATGTATATAAGTCACATTTTGATATATTTTGTTAATATTCCTCTGACTAAAGTGAGTTCCAAGCTATCTGTCAAGTCTGAATCCAGCAGTTGCTGCTCCACCCCAGTCCTTCTTACTTCTTGTTTGACCTTTCCTGGCACCGCCATCCCTGTCTCTGAAAGTTGGGTCTGGGTGACTCATTTTCTGAGTCTCATCAAAGACACCATTCCAAGTTCTCTTTATCATGACCCCTCCCATTTTGGTGAGCGACTCTAGGCAGGAATTGGTGGAAAAGGTACCGTAATCGTATTTTTGTCTTGTATCTTCACCTCATAATTCAAGAAAAGAGGGGGCTGTACAGCGCCATGAGTCCCTACGGCTCTGTTACCATGTACCGGCTTAACTTTGTTCACTAGCCCTGTAGTCCGACTCAATGGCTACTTTTTTTCACTTTCTCCACTGGATTTTGTCCAATATAAATAACAAGCTACAAATAATGTATAAAATAGCAAATAAAACTGATTGCCCTGCTGAAATTTGTTATAATGAATGATATGCAAACAGGGGTCATTGCCTGACTCCTGGAACTATGTTCATATTATGACATGAGTCATAACACCATTGGCAGAATTTTGGTAACTGCCCTAAGGCAGATTCCACTTTGAACAACAAACCCTAATTTCTCAAATAAATCTTCTGAACAGAGGACAGTGTGATAAAGGGGAAATAGCTAGGATTCAGAGATTTGGATTTAAATTCAAGACCTACCATCCTTACCTATGTAATCCTGAATTAATGACTGCATTAAGTCTTAGTCTTCTCAAATGTCAAACAACCATACATAAAGTAACTACAGGTCCATGTAGTTATTGGGATTAAACAACAAAAATGTACATACAACATAAACTCAACGAGGATTAAATGTAACCGGGAATATAACACTGTACTATATTAACTGCTATAGTCCCAGCACCTGGAATTATACTTGTCATGAGCAGACCCTGAATAAAAACTGAACAGTTGCAAGAACATGTAAAATTCTCACATGTGATAAAGCCTCAGCACACTCAACAACAGCTTCAGCATGTGCTTTTGGCATCCCAAGACTTGAGTTTGAACCCCAACTTCCCCATTTGCCAGTGCAAGGATACAGTGAGCAGTGGAACTCAGTTTCTGGTCCATCATCTCTAAGGAAGCAGAGCACCAGTGCCCGGTCTTGCACTGGAGTTGATTAGCAGCTTCATCTCAATGGCCACAGCTGCCTATCCAACAGGCGCTAACAAGCGAAGCAGTCAGGGCTTTGGATTTACCTCGGTTGGTTTGTGGATGGAAGACTGAATAGCAGTGGGACCGTTGCTTGCCCTTGGGTGCCCTCTGAGTGACGGCTGTGGTGAAATGACAGGTGCTGTGCTCCGGACTAGTTCTCTGCTCCTCTGTGTGCTTGGTAGGGAGTGGTATGTGCAGGAGAAGCCACAGTCCCAGTTCTTTGTAAATGATTATAAGAAGAAAAAAGGATGTGTCCATGTTTTCTTCCATTAAAAGTTAATAAGAATGTTTTTATCATAGACTAGAACATCTGGTGGGTCATGGCTATGACTTCTGAGGACAAAGCAAGCATTGTTTTCAAGTTCAGATTTTTGCAAGTCCAAGAATTTGAACCCTTAAAAAAATAACTTTTAAGACAGGGATGAGACAAAAATGACTTCTAATATCAAATCTAAACATTACCATTTCTAAACTGAGCAAGACCGTAGTAGCTACATAGAACCTAGAATAACAAAGAAATATACATAAATATAAATACATAAATGGAAAATATTATGGTCATTACATATCAGCAATGCTTTTGCCAGCACTAATACAGTTCTT